AATAGGTATATTAAAATTCAAGGGGGCTTACAATATTACCTTGATTATGAAGTGGTGTGGTGGCGGAACGTCCGTAATCGCTGGTGATTGAAATCCAATAGAAAGTTTAAAAAGTTAGAAACTGAAGTCGAACCCTCTAAACGGTTTGAAGAGTTCCGTTTTCAGGGGAAATTTAACGAAGGTGCACTGACAGGAAAAGTGCAGTTTTTCTTTTTGTCTTGTTTCACATACGAATTAACATTAGGGTGGTACACCCGATAATTTACTTTAAGTATTTGATTTAGCGTGGAGGCCTAAACATATATTTTATTTAAAATTTTCAGATATGTACATATATTTTAAATATTTGCTTTAATTTTTGTATCCTTTTAATATTTAATTAGATACCTTAAGATTAAAATAAGCTTAAAATGAAACAGCACAGCAACCCTTTTCTGTTCATCTTGAGAACACAAAACCCTCTTTTGTTAAAATTCGGCGCTGCACAAAATCCTGGCTTTTATATTTTCCAATAAAATACCACTTCGCAACCCTGGATTTTCACGAAGCGTTTCATTCGGGTCGTAGTTTTGCAACTTCGGGCCATTCGGTGTTGTATGCCATATTGGCTGCCATATTGTTCACACTGTCATCGCCATATTGAACACCCTGTCAACTATCTGTCAACCCTAAGATATCTCACTTGTATTCTTCCACAATGGTTCTCGCTATCAAATATCGAATGAATCTTTATTCCGCTAATTATTTACAAAACGGTATCCTGGGCGATCATGCCTTAAGGGCTAGACCCATAACTCTGTCACTAATGGTATAGACACAAATCACCTTATGCCTAGTTTACAATAACTTAACTTAAAGCTTAGGGCGGGTATACTAAGTACACACTCTTACAACATTTTATTGGAAAATTCAAAAATTATTTTTACATACTTGAGTGGGTGGGATCGCAAAGCATACTTTGCTTAGCTCATAGAGCTCTGGATCACTTAACTGCCTCTCTTTCCAGAAGTTTAAAACATTAATATTAGCTTTCATGTAAGGTAGCTTCAATGTTTCTATTTTCGTATAAACATCTGCTGCTTCATTTATAGGTGCTATCGCAGAGGATAAATAGTTGTCTAAAATTTCAAAGTAATTTCTTCCGATTCTACATAAAAATAACTAACTTTTCACTTTTAAAAATAATTATAGCTCTCCACCATTTTTGGGCAGGGCCGCATGCGTTTTCACGTGGAATGATCCATAAAAATCCTATGTACTTGTATATTGCATATCTATGTACATTACGGCGGGTCAATTTGTATGGGAGGTTTTTTCCACTATGCGCGTATAGCACAGGAGCATTCTACGTGTAGTTCTAAGCAAATTTGCCGAAGAAACCATGGCAAACCCCCCTCGTCTGTAAAATTAAAGTAATTTCCAATAATAAAATTATGCTTCTGCGGCGGCATGTTTTCTTTTTAGTAGATCAATAACGACTGTACAAAAGCAAACGAAAAACCAGTTGAGCATTTGTAGCAGCTGTCAGAGAATTCAACGACTCCCGTAGCGATAGCAATAGCAGTAGCAAAAATTTCGATTTGCTATGCTGCAAACCGCTATCACAGCTTTTCATTTGCTACGACTCCAAACAGCACATTGTTCGTTTTTTTGCTCTATTCATCTGCGTAGTAGTACAACCAAACCCAGTCGGGAGCCGAGAAATACAAATTTTCTTCGGGTTTTGTGCTACTTGTTTTGCTAATGGTTTTTTTAAACCAAGACCGATAGCAAGAGCAAACAT